CTCAGTGAGTAGAATAGTTCGAAAATAATCATACTTTCTCCTTTAAACATTTTTATCAAACATTGAGTTCATATCATTTAATAGTTCACATGATAGCTTCATACAATTACAGACAAAAAGTGAGACATTCTCATAACACTGTAGATATCATCTCTTAGTCATGATATAGTCATCAGTTAATATCTATACTATCATCTCACCAAATCACATGTGATCCACCAAAAATGTACCCTCTTATTAAAATCTGAAATCCGTCCATCGGGCCAAGCACTTTCGTCACTGGCCTTTGGTCCCCTCCGTGAACGAAAGCGGTTCTCAAAGACCTCTGATAATCAATTCTAGAATACGGTCAAGGCCCCTCAGTGAACTATATGTACACGGTCACGACCCCTTCATCCCCAGTCAACTCCTCAGTGTAGTATAAAACACGGCCAAAGCCCCTCTGTGAACTAGAAGAAATATATAATCATGGGTACTTTTCTGGTCGATCTCAAGATCACATAATTCACAATGTGTCGTATACAATATTTGATATTTGAAAGGCCACATGTATCATAATAAAAGATATTTTCATAATAACCATATAATTCGAACACATAATTGCACATACTTTGATAATATACTTAATTTATAAATATTTCTAAAAATATTTATATTTTTCCACTCACAGAACTGTGTTCGCAAAATTAACTCGGTTGGTAAACTGTCCTGATATTAGTATCGCCACCAGAAATATGATATAATTTTTAAATCAACAATTAAATATTTTAAGAAATTTCAATAATTAAATAGGCAATGTCCAAATTTAATCATTTCACGTTTAAGAGATTTCCATAGTCTCTTAAATCGGTAAAACTAATTTTTCTTTCACTTTACATAATTTCATAGTTTATTATATTTAACCCGTTCAATAAAATTGAATTTAATCTAACAATCTAACCACTATAAAATTAAATATAACTTGACAATAAGTAACATTTTACTTACCTTTCAAAATTGAGGAATTCAAGCTTAATACTAGAAATCGCTTATTTTTAAACCACTTTGTCGGAATTTCCTTTTTTTTTTTCTTCTTCTTCCTTCTTCCTTTATTTTCCCTTTCTTTCCTCTTCTCTCTTTCTTTTCTTTCTCCTTTTTCTTCCTCTTTCTCGCTTTTTTTCCTTACTTCTACCCTTTCCAGCTCTCTCTCTCTCTCATATCATATGAGAAATGGATATTAATTAACATGCCACCCGTCCAGCTCTCCCTCACTTGTGTGTATGTGTCATAAGTAAAAAAAATGGGATATTAGTAATAAATTACCACTTGTACTCCCCAAACCCATTTTTACAATGGAAGTCTCTTTTCTTCAATTAAATATATTATTTAGTAAGTCAACTTCCATTTATAGAAAAGTAAATCCTCGAAATTAAATTTCATCCATCTTAAACTTTTAAAATTTGTCAATTTGTAAAATAAACTCTCAAAAATAATTTGGTCAATTCAAGTCCCACTAAAATGATTTACATCATTTAAGTCCTTATTTGGCTTTGACTTTGACTAGTCAAATATTTGCCTTTGAATAAATAGTATTGACCTTTGACTAATACGAAATAGGATGTAACATAACCATAGAATTTGCTTGGGAAAAAAAATTTGATCATGACTTAAGATCAAAGGGCTTGCATATTCCTCTTACTAAGTTTGTAGTGTTAAATGCCTATTAAGACATTTTTTTGGGCTCACATCAAATTTCATGTATTATGTAGATACATATATATGTATGCCATAATGATACAAGTTTGTCATTCAATATTTTTAATACAATGCTTAAATATTTTTGTTCATAGTATATTAGTTATATTAATTTCTTGCATCTTTGAGAATACGAAATTTGAATATCTGGTAACTATATATTTAAAATTTATATTGATAAATTCATTTTTTTATTCACGATTTGCAAGATTTAGAGCCTATTTGAACCCCATTATATTGAAAAAATACATTTTGGAATAGTAAGTTCATCGAGAATGTGTGATTACAAATAAAGAAAAAGTTTTAGATTTGCGTGTAAATTATTTTATTGAAAAAAAGGGAGAAAAATATATTTTGAAAAAAAAATGGGAATCAAACAAATACTTAAAATCAAAAGATTAATTTGAATCTAAATTATTTTTTGAATATTAAAAGCATGTTTTTACATTATTGAATTTTGTTCAAAATTAAAAATTTAAATTTTATTGTTAAAATTTAGATCTGGTTAATTTAAATATCTAAATTTCTTTGAACTATTTGATATCATTGATTTAAATATCAATTGTCGACTATAGTTAGTTATTAATAGATATATTAGACATACTACATGAATAGCGTTAAATAGTTCATTGTTAATTTGATAAAAAATTATTTTGGATTTTTTTTTTGGTTGAGAAAATGACAATAAAGCATTTTTTATTCATTTTTAGTACATAACCTACATCGACTATCTTGGAACTCGTCGCAACTACCTAAAAAAGAAAGACAAAAATGATAGTGATTGTATTAATATAATATCAAATTATGTAGATCTGATTGAAAGCTTCAGAAAAGCTAATATTATGTTATACGTAAGGATACATTTTAGGGATAATTGTAGTAGAAGCTCCAATCCTTTGAAAACTAGCAGACTTTCTCAAACTTTTAATTTATTGCAGTCATCACCCCTAACATTTCCAAACGTTGCATGCGAGGTTCTTTTGGATGGTTTTCGTCAAAAAATCAGTCAGTTAACCATCAAAATCAATTTTGACCACCTTTTAATCAATTTTAAAAAGCAAAATGATAACTTTCTATTCACCACATTAAACAATTAAAAAATTTAAATCAAAAATAAAAAAAAGAAAGAAAATTAATCTTCTTCCACCCCACCCCTCCCCTCAATCTAAAATCAGTAATAATAAATCCACCGCCGCCGCCATCTTTCCCTGCCACTGCCATTGCCATTGCCATCTCAGTAGGGGATATTTGATTGATATCAAATCCCTTGCCCGTTGCCTAATTCAATTCTACAACATTACCTTTTTGGAGGCCACAAAGGAGCTCCATAGTGGACCCATGATGGATTTCACGAAGAACTCGAAAATACCCTTTGACTAGGCTGTAGAAAGTGGGGGCGCCATTGCAAAGAATGAGGGTTTTTGTATTGGGGTCCTAGAGGTAGAGCTGGAGGTACTAGCTAACCTCAGTGAGTCAGAGATGTTGATGGTGATTTGGAAAAGCGAGTCAATTGTTGAGGAGACTTCTAACAGTGGGTAGAGGCCCAAAGAGTGGTGTCTTAGCGTACAGCAGCGACTAATATAGTGAGGCAACGATAGCAGAGGTGGTAGGAGAGGTGGTAGATTTATTATTGCTGGTTTTAGATTGAGGGGTTGGGGTGGGGGAAATAAAGATCCTTTTTTTTTGTTTTTGATTTAATTTTTTTAATTGTTTAATGTGATAAATAGAAAGTTACCATTTTACCCTCTTAAAATTGATTAAAAGGTGATCAAAGTTTATTTTGATGGTCAACTAATGAATTTTTTTACGGAAACCATCCAAAAGGGCCTCCCATACAACATTTGGAAAGATTAGGAGTTACGGTTGCAACAAATGGAAGGTTTGAGGAAAGTCTGATAATGTTTCAAAAGTTTGGGACTTCTGCTGCAATTATCCCTAAATTTTATTATATTTGTTGGGAAAATGATAATAAAGCATTTTTTTATTCATTTTTAGTACATAATGTACATCGACTATTTTTAAACTTATCATAACCCCCTAAGAGATGGCGATTATATTAATACAATATCAAATTTTGTCTGATTAAAAGCTTTATAAAAGCTAAATTTTTGTTATACGCAAGGATAAATTTTAGGGATAATTGCAGCAGAAGCCCTAAATCTTATAAACACTAGCAGACTTTCTCCCAACCTTTCATTTATTGCAACCGTCACCCCCAAATCTTTCCAAACGTTGCATCTAAAGCCCTTTTGGATGATTTCCATCTAAAATGCCATTAGTTGACCATAAAAATAAACTTTGACCACCTTTTAATTAATTTTAAAATAGTAAAATGGTAACTTTCTATTCACCACATTAAACAATTAAAAAACTTTAAAAAAAAATTGCTACAACCTGACACCTCCCATCTTCTTCTTCCTCATTACACCCCAAACCCCCACCCAACCTTACGCCACCCTCTCCCAACAAATACCACCAAACTCACAACAAATTGTTGCAAAATCTTCTACTACTAGTACCTTAATATTCACAAGACTCAAAACCCATTTAAAAAAAAAAACATCAAAATTAACATTTCGTATTTAATTTCTCATAGCCATTGAAACTTGCAGCTTCAGTTTTGGATATAGTTGT